CAAGGCTATGAGTTTTCATGCTGTTGAAGTACAGTCTTCGATCAGTTGAAGCAATATTTGCGTTGAATTCTAAGAAATAAAGCGTATTTAGTGATTGCTAAAAATACATTTACTGACTTATACAATAAAGTTCTCTTTAATAATTTGTTTGCCCTCATTATACTTAAGTTATTTTAACAAGCTTTCACAAATCCTAAAATGGGCCTAAATAGTGCAGTAACGCTGATTCTTTTTTCCAACTGACTATGCACCGTTCAAAATCATATGAGTTTTGCACTATATATATGATTGAGGATATCAACGAACAATGACATTTTCTCAAATTTTTTTCGGATTACGTGAGTAGCTCTTGCAAGCAAGCTTCGTAATGCGTAACGTAAAGATTTTTGCTTACTTTTACACTGAATAAAATAATAATGGTTCTGTACATAATAATTATCCGTTTTAGTTTGGTATTTCATAATTTAATGCACAAGCAAATGAAAATTTTGATATTACGTTAGTCAAAATTTACTGCTCTTGTAGTTTACTGCAGATCCAACCTGATATCTTTGAAAGTAGGAAAGTTGTTAAGAATGGATTATGCATTTTCTGACAGGAGGTCAGATCCAGTTTTTAAATTTTTCATTCATTACCTCCACTGTTCACAAATCAAGCATTCTAAAAAGCACAAAATTTTTTGAATACTTTTCAGGCAGGTTATTCTCGTTTCACAAGTTGACAAATGAAGTGGTTCTTCTCAGTTCATATGTCTTTTATGTACTTGGCAAAATTACTGAAAATAATAATTATTATTATTAATGAATAATGCATTTCAGATTCAAACAATAAAATTGTTTTTATGGATAAGTGCACAAATAGTTTTTTTAAAAGCAGTATAATGTACGAAACTGAATGCCTTTGTCATTAAAAAGATGCTTTTATCAGTGTACTATACAGAAGATTTTTCCTACATGGAAAACACTTTTTCAGGATCGCTTCGCAATGTAATGAATATTAATTTCATTTTTCGCATGCTCAATTCAGTATATTAATGTGGAATTCAGTGGCTAAACATCAAAAAAATCATTCGCATTGCTTAATACAAAAAAATCATTTGTAAACTGCTAATAACGCTTGGAAAACATCCAGTAAAGCATACAAAGTTATTTCTCGAACTAATACTCTTCTATTGTTATTCTCATCTGTTCTAATTAAGAAGGACATATGAGTCTTAATAAATTTGCATATTTGTTATAATTTTACGAATCGCTATGTGCCGCTCACTTGTAACGTTCAAAAGTAAGCGCACACTGTTAGAAAACTGCTGCGCAATTAGCTATCAATTAGTTGCATCACACTGCATTAGCACTGTTAATAATAGATGGATCCATTAATGCAACAAGGAATTGGTGGAGTGAACTGTTCAAACAGAGAGTAATCCGCACCACATTGAATGACTACTGCTCTAGCAAATTTTGCTCTTAACAATGAAATAAAAATGCATACTATGCAAAATAATGCACGGAAAGTGCGAGATTTTGAAGCAGCCAATTATTAGATTACAAAAATTTTCTAGAAAATAACAAGTTTTCAGTTCTGATAGTTAAGATTATTAAGTCTGCTTTGAGCACTACTAATTTTCATCCCAAATTTTTTCGCTATAAAATATCACAAAACAGTTATTGCTGACGAAAACAGCAGAAAAGTTTTTCTTAATAATGAAAAACAAAGTTATGAAGATTAAAAAAAATTTTATCTAACGATAATCAGTCAGAACAAGAAGTTTTCAGTTCTTTAAATGAATCAACGTGATCCAAGTGACTTAACGATTGTTTTTTTTTAAATCAATTAAATCAAATCGTTTAAGATGTGGGTTAGATGAACCAAGTCATCAAGATCTGGGTTAGACAGACTGTTCACTTCATCTAACACAAATCTTGATGATTTAGTGTTGCTATTCATGTTGAAAAATTTTATCGAGGAAACTTTTGATATTTTTGGATTAATACAACTGAAATGAAGTTATGAAAAATTACGTTTAACTCAAGTATTAGTATTTACAGCAATGCAACATACAAGGATGGAACCAAAAATTGGTAGTTTCTGAGAAAACTATTTGGGCCAATTGTTTATTTCCTATTTGTTTAAAACAGGTTCATCAAAATTCGTTAATAAAAAATAATAAATTGCTAATCTTTTTTTTATGAAGTGCATTGTGAAGTGCTACCAAATGAGTTTTTATCTTAATAAAGTTGACATGGATTTTTGGTTGCAAGTGATTAAAAATACGGAAATTTTTAAACACTCAATTTTAAATAAAGAGTTCAAGCAAAGATCTAGATCAACTATTCCCACAACCAATGCTACAACAATAAAGAATGAATCATATGAAGACGATGTAGATACTGTTTTACATACAAACAATGGTTTAATGATAGAAGAAACAGTAAACTACTTATTTTCATAGAATATAACTCACGAAATTGTTTCAACTTGTATACCAAAAGTAAGCATTAAGTGGAAAAAACCTTGTCATATATTTGCAAACACATGTTATAGGCTATGCTTATTTAAAAATTTCACTTCAATGATCATTTGAAAAGAATAAAAAATAAACGAGGCAGTGATCTATAATTAATATGTCATTATGGAGGAAACAATTCAGATGCTGTCTAAAATGCGTATTTTTTTTCTAAATGAATCGAAATGATCCATGTGTCTTAACAATCAGATTTTTTTTTAATCAAGCAAATCAAGTCATTTGAGTAGTTTATTGTACCCAGTAGTTTACAAGCATCATCCATAACAATCATTCTATCTAAGAACGCAACATCACATACTCATCTACATTGTCATTACCGTAAATGAATAACTATTTCCAGAAATATTATGGAAAAGCAGCTAACAAAAAAAGATATTGAGAACAATTACTCATATTTATCAGTACAATACGAACTGCTTATCCTCTGAAAGTATACATTCATGAAGACATGAGAAAATTGTGAATGCAATCAATTTGCAGAAATTGGAAAAGGCGAAACAAAATACAGAATATGTAAAAATTTTTGCAACATTTAAAAGATACATTGTTTTAAAAACAGTGATTTAAAGTGTAAGCTAAACAATGATCTTTTTGGAAGATGTATTAAATCTTATTCTCGTAAAAAAATTTACTGCGAATTTATTCATTTCTTAGATGGCTTCATCGCAATACTACTTGACCAAAGGACTTTTTTCATTTCAGTGTTTATTTCAACTACAATAAACAACATTTTACATCTCTCCTTTCGTATTTGTTTCGGATTTATACTAAATGATTCATTCTAAGGTAAAATTTAGTAAGAAAGAAATAAGAATTCGCCTTAGGAGAAAAAATTCGCTATCCTGAATATTTTTCCAAACCATTTTATTCGGATCTTTTTGAACTAATTTATCTAAAAGTAAAGGAAATTTATTATACATTACAGTTTACTGTTTTATTCTGTTTTTTTTTAAAAGTGTTATGAGATGGATATATCACAGTGATAGTATGACAGAATGGTATTGTGCTTCAACCTTAATTAAAAAGTGATAAGTATATGAAGTTATTTATTTATTTATTATTATTATTATTATTATTATTATTGATATTATTATTATTATCATTATTATTTTTATTGATATCATTATTATTGATATTATTGTCATTACTACTGATATTAATAATATTATCATTGATGGTAATATTATTGTTGATGAATAGTGGATACGACTTACGAGATGAGGAAATTTATTTCAAGTTCTCATGTTTTCAATCTCTGTCGGTCTTAAAGAAATGTTCATGTCATTGAGATGATTTGTTTTATGATTTACAACGATTTTCAAACATGGCCATCGTAGCATAGGTCGAATGGGCGAATTTTCCTCATCAGTCGCAATCGATTACAACGTTGGTGGCTGTTGAGTTAATATCTAATTCGTTGCTATATGAGAGAGAGAGGGACGGTGTTTGGTGATTTTAGTAGGTGTTGTTTGTGAGATATTGTTGAGTGTGTAACTTTGGTCCCTGAAAGTAGTAGGAGTCATTTTCTTTTTGAAATAATTGAATGGGACTTGTAGGTTGGAGTTGTTCCAGACAGTCATTTGATTCAAATGTGATTTAGAGTGAAATGAATTCGAGTACATGTGCATATTTTTGTTATCGCTAGATTAGACATTGAACCAATATGTTTTCCCTCTAAGGTTTCCTCTAACTGACCTTGTTTGTCATACAGAGAGCACAGAACGTTTTGTTACGATTGTATTGTTCGTTTATTTCGTTTATCACTGTTTCTCGTGCATTATTTACGGAAGGAATGCTAACTGTTGTTATCATATACATAGACTAGAAGTTTTGGAGGTAATGAGTAATATTCGTGGAGATCTAATTCATAATTGACTTTCTTGTGAGCTACGTATTTATAATACTATCCCAACTCCTAGACTGTATAATATATCTATATTATGTAGTATAGGAAAAAGTAAGAGTGGAAATTTCTATTGTTTTATGAAGTAAATGAAAGGATGACATATCGTCATATTGTGTGAGTGAGATGATACTGTCCAAAGTAACTCTTCTTTTATGTAATTGTAGAAAAAAGGAATCTCGGCAAAAATTTCTATATGCTACGTCTTGGTTAGCGCCTTGATTGTTGAATTAGATCGCACAGTAGTGTTTTTTTGTCTCGCATGTTTATGTCATAGAAACTTAAGCTGTTACTTATCATTAATATGGGGTATATTTTCGTGCTTTCCTAGAGTGATCCAATTCACTAGCAATTTTACTGTTCTGTTCTAAACATTTGGTGATTAATATGGTTTTAAAAGCCTTAAATGTTAATGTAGTGAATGTAGAAGTCGTGATGTTGGTGTCCATTCATTTAGTGATTTGTCCAGTGTATTTGTTATTTGCTGTGACATATTGCTATATCTAAATCAGGAGGAATTTTTGGTACGACCTGCTTCTCCATTTTTTACAAGTGTCATCTTGCTAACTGGCTATGTCGGACGGTAGTGTTGATGAGCGGCGTCCATCATACGACGAACGGGAGCTTGCAAGTAAATCATTATCGGTACAAGACAAACGATTTTATGTTGATGTCAAGCAAAATAATCGAGGTCGCTTCATTAAGCTTGCAGAGGTAAGGTCATGATCTAATTGCTTGATAGAGTTAATATGAAAGTGCTTAGCTAGAAATCTTATTCGTTTTGGACCATGTAGAGTTTGTGATTTGAACTATAAAGCAGGTTCAGGTTGGCTCGGGACGACGGAAGAGCCAACTAACACTGTCAATGAGCGCTGCGGCTGCGTTTCGTGACCATCTGGATCAGTTTGTCAAATTCTTCGATGGCCTCGGTATTATGTTTACTTTAAGAAGTATATAATAAGGTCATTATCGTGAGAATGAAGACTATTTCTTGCATTGTGATCTGCTTTAGTCCTTTATAATTTTTTCTCTAATCGATGATATTTCTCATTTTCACTGTACTAAGTTTTTGTGAGATTATCTACTTTTCAGCTTCTGGTGAGGAACCATCTGGAGGTGAGAATGGTCACTTAAAATCTGAAGTAATTGTGCTTCATTTACGTCAATATTTTCTGAAGTTGAAAGAAAATGAAAGGGGACGGTACTTACTAGTCTTTCAAATGGTGTTAAAAAATCCTCAGTTCCATCGTCCACCAGTGAGTTTTTTAACTTCAAATGGCGATCACGATTCATTAGTTGAGCTCATGCTATAAAAGTTTAAATTTCTTCGAACATTTTGCAGATAGCATTACCAGCAACTGGCATGGCACAACTTCGAGATACACTAACAGAACTTATTGACAAGTATGCTGAGGGATATCTCATTGAAGTTAGTTTTTAATTACCTGGGAAATTTCTAAAAAGTACAAGTTTAATATGTATGAATTTTTGACTTTCATTTTTCGTTTCAGTACGATACGTATCTAGCTTTGCCTAAGCCGAAGCATGTACGTGCTGACAATAAGATGTTTATTTTTGTTGTCGATCGCAATGAACGTGGCACTTTTTTGCGCATATTGGAGGTGACGAAATGAGATTTTATCATTTGTAGGGACTTTTGAAGTTGTTTTCAAATAACTACTCTGGTCGTTCTATGGCAGATGTCTGCTATAAGTTTTTCAAGGATTTGACGACTGTTTCATATTTTTTAAGCTAATAAGCTTGCTTCAGGTTAAAAAAATGGGAAGATGTTCTTCTATCACAGTACCAATGAGTTCTTGGGGAGCGTTCCAAGATGTGCTTTCGGATCTGCAAGAAAAAGTAACACCCTCTAATGAAATTAAAAGTGGTAAGGAGGAATTAAAAATAAAAAACGATCCCGAGGATGATAAAGTGGAATCTAAAACGAGCAGTGTTTCCGATACTGAACATAACAAAGGGTAGTTATTATGTTTTATTAATTTCAGACAGGTTGTAATGTCGATCTTATAAAGCTTTTTCTGCCTTTTATTTTCTGCAATAATCTACGTTTCTAATTTCGAAGTTTATTGCAAATTTAACATTGAATTGTGGATATATTGTTTCTACAAATCCAAATTAATAATTCTAGCGCTAGTCGCAGTAGTATAGTTTTCAACCTATGTGTTCTACGCATTTTTTGTGTGTACGAAACAGATTTTTTTAAGCAGCGCGTCTGCATTTATTTATCAGTCTGATTTGTTGTTTCATTAAATGTGATTTTATTATTGAATGTAGTTTGCGAAGCATAAACTTTGTACCGGAACACTGAACTGGACTGATCTTGTCACGTAACTTGAATGATTGTATATTTAAGAATCATTTAAACATTTCATTAGTGCTCATTTGAGTCTTGTTACTACATGATTGTCCTATATTTCTAATGTTTCGAATATTCACAGAAGACATCGTTGTTTTTGTTACTGTTTTTGTTGTTGCTGCTACTGCTGCTGCTTCCATGGTCTCCGTCTCAATATTTTCAATGTATGTCTCGATATAATGCCCGCGACCTCTCATTTTTGATTTAATGATTAGTTATCAGTGTGCTACTTTGTCATTTTAGTATTCTTTTTTGATTCAATCAGTTATTTGTCATTTCTTTATGATTATAAAATTCTTGATTTGTTTTCAATTAAGTGTTCTACGCATTTTTAATGTGTTCTGAAGATTAGTTTGAAGCAACACGACTGCACCCACTACTCCATTTGACTTGTCTTTTTTAATGACCTCATAGTTAGATGTATTATTATGCACTAACTTTGTAACAAAAGCTTGAAATGTTCATGCTACGTAATTTGATTAAATGTGTATGGGAAGCATTTAAACCATCCAAAGTCAGTTAGATGCGCTCGTGTCTTGTTACGTCATGCTTGTTCTATATTTCTAGCTTTTCAAACCCATTGTAGTTGTTATCACTGTTGTTTGCCTGGTCTCTGTTTCGATATTATGGTTGCATAGATCGATATGGAGAACGCGACCTCTTATGTTTGATTCAGCTACTATTTTAACAGAATACTATTGAAGTGTTGCATTTCAAATGTCAGTTGTCATGGAGACATGTTTCACAATCCCATAAAGTCCGTTTCCGAATCATCTGTTACTGATAGACTGTTTGTTTTTATATTATGTTGAAATCTGCTATTATGGATTTCGTTTTTTTTGATTATGATTATCAGTTAGTAATTAGGTGTTTGCTTATGTTCTTTATGGCCTTTTTGAAATAAGTTGAGACATTTGAAGGAAAGATGCGTATTTTCATTGTAATTTACATTGTTAAGTTTCGTTTTTGGGAATTTGGTTCTGTAGTATGTTTTTATCGGATTTTATGGTATGCCGTGGTTAAAGTAAGTACTACCGTGAATATGCTGTGGTTGAATTGTAGAATTTGTCACTCCGGAATTGCTGTATTTGTTGATAAAACGTTCCCAACCGTATCATGTTTCCTTCTTTAGTGGTTTTTCCGCAGACCTGAATATTCAAGATTAAAAAGCATGTTTTTATGCATTGGATTCATATATAGGAGCAGGCGTATGCTGACCGTGTAATGATTTTGTGGAGGAGTGGATGTTTGGGCATATGTATATGACTTGCTGAAGAGATTTTGGTGGTGTAATTCTCGATCAATTTCGATGTGTAGGGTCGGTTGGTCATATATTGTTTAGTTTGAGAGCCTTGCAGTAGAAGGGTTTTTGTGAAATGAGAGGGAAGGGAAAGAGGTTGCACTGAGATGTTGCATAGGACAACTATTTGGACACGTAATGAGCGTGTATGTGAGTGTGTACCTATGGGTGTATGTAAATGTCTGCCAATAGGTGTATGTAAATGTCTGCCAATAGGTATATGTAAATGTCTGCCAATAGGTGTATGTAAATGTATGCCTATGGGTGTATGTAAATGTCTGCCTATGGGTGTATGTAGATGTGTTCCTAGGTGTATGTAAATGTATGCCTATGGGTGTATGTAGAATGTCTGCCTATGGGTGTATGTAAATGTCTGCCAATAGGTGTATATAAACGTCTGCCAATA